AATGTTTTTGAATTACTTTGTGAAACCTCAGCAGGAAGTTAGAATCGACACAGAGAATCCAGGGAGTAAGTACATATGAGAAACAGTCTTTATACTCAACTTTTAAAAACAAAATTATTTGTTGATTTTGAAAGAAAACTGGCACGATTTTAAAAGACATCTAACGCATGTCTAAAATGGGGTCAGGAAAATCCCACACTCCCCCCCCACTCAAAGCCATAAGATTTTTCCAAAATAATAAGGTCATTTTAAAGATCCAGAAGAAGCTGACATTTTTGCTTAATTTAGGAACCACATTTGCTTTTGAAAGTTGATTTTAGCGGAACGTTTGGCAAATTATCTTTTTTTTTTTTTTTTTGAGGCATTTTTAACATTGGTCCTCCAAGAACTCCAACTTTGAGAGCAAAATCATTTTCTCACTGGGCTCTTAGGGTAACCCTGACTCACCTTGCTTAGGCGGTTACAATTGCGACCTTCATGGCCTCTTCTCTTGACCACTCCCGTGCACATCCTGTGAATGGACAAGGATCCTGAGGGAAGACAGGTTTTCTTGGGAGGGCTTCGTGGACACAGGCTTGCAGGCTTTGAGGGTGAAATCTTGACCTTTATTAATTTAGATGAGAAATAAAGCTATCAAATGGACAAGACATTGGCATTTGAGGTCCATTACCCACTCAGCACCCTCCAGCCCCGGCCCCAGCTTCCATTGCGGAATAACCTCTCTTGTGATCATTGTAAAATTTCTTTATATATTAATTAATATATTCAATTAACTCAAAGTCCTGTCTTGGCTGGAGAGATAGTGTCTTTATAAGGTGTTTTGAATATCTCCACTTTGGTTTAACCATATGAGGCCAATTGATTTCTAAGTTCTTGGAGGTGAGGTACCTCTTTGTTGCATCCAACCCCTTTGTAAAATTCTTATTTTCCAAAAGTAAAGAAAATGCTTTAAAAATGTATTATTTATTCTTAGTATTTTTTCTTAAAAAAATTTAAGTCTGTGACCTTCCCAAGTTCTGAGTAATTTAGAATAAGAGTTAACACTTTGCTTTTCTAGCCCTTTTTGGCAGTGTCTTGTGGGGAAATTCTCTACTCTGCGTTTTAGAATACTAATGCCAATAGCTAACGCTTATTTTGTACTTTGTCCTTGGTTCTGCATACTCGGCACTTTACATGCATTAAATAATTTAATCCTTATGACAGCCCTGTGGAATAAGTACTATTATTACTTCTATACTACAGATGAGGAGATAGGACCAAGGAGGTTGAGGAAATTGCCTCAGATCAAGAAGTTAGAAAATAAGCAAAGCCAGAATTTGAACCCAGACAGTCTTGTTCCAGAGTCTGTCTACTTACACTGTTTGAAGACCTCCAAGTCCAGGGATAAATCCAAGGACATTCAATATGTTTTAAAAAGGACAAGACCTGTCTTACACTTTATAGGTGCTTTTTGGGTTTCGTGGGTTTTTTTTTTCATATATATGAAAAGAATCAGGTCTCATTTATAATTCAATTTCGATTAAGGGTTCATCTACTGATTTCCACCTTGGTTAAAGCAGGGGAAACGCTTTACTCTACAACATCTTCCCTGGAAAACCTATTATTTTCAGCCACCAAGGAGGAGGGCTGGATTTTTCTGGGAAAAAAGCTGCCGACTACATCTACTGAAGACTTTTTCCTGGCTGCCTTCCTCTGTCATCATCCTTGGTGACATCAACATCCGACTGAGTGACCCATCCAACATCTTGACCATTCAGTTGATTACCTGCCTCAGGATCAATGATTTTTTTTCTGTATTTTAACTGAGCCACCTGTTCCCATGGTTACAGCCTAGACCAGGAACTGCACTATCTCCGGTTTCAAGCGTCCCCACTCTGACCACCACCTACTGTCCTTTCAATTCACTAACTAGAATAGTTCCACTGCAACAATGTTCTGACCTCATCAAGACCTCTCATTCATCGGTCCTATCCTTTTCGCTGTTCAAACTCCCATATTCCTTCATTTTCCTCCTATCTTCATTTTCTTTACTATCTAGCTTAAATTTCATCTTCCATCGTTATAATGGCTCCCTGGTAAATACAATCGATTACCTCGTTCCTCTTTCTATCTTACTTGCCTGGCATAACCCCGACCTTGGTTGAGGGTAACTATGTTCCATTTTCTCAAACAATTGAAATATACAGGAGAAAAATCATACATTTGAGTTGACTAGTTTCATTTAAAATCATGACCATAAACCTCAGGGCTCACTCAACACTGCCAGTAATTCCACTGTTCCACCGTGTTTTCCTGTATAGTGTTTTCCAAACGTTAGTCATTCTTTTATCACCGTGATTTTTGCTGTATCTGAATACTACCTACACAATCATTAACTAAATAATTAACTTTAAATTTATTCAAATGGAAAATGTACCCATATCCTAAACCTTGTCCTAGACGGGGTAGGCAAACTATGGCCCATAGGCCAAATCCAACCTGTTACTGCCTGTCCTGATTAGGACAAACATTTTAAGCCTTTGCATTATCACTGCAAAATGTTTTTCTCCCTCTTTTCAGTGACTCAATTTGGGAAGCACTGACTTTTCTTGTGCTTAGGCTTCCAGTTGTTTCAGCCAATGGGAGGCTCTGGCCAGAGAACAGAGGGCAGAAAGAGAAGGAAGTCAGGGTATTTAGACCACCAATTCTGTCCAGTTGTGG